TGAAAGCACTCCGCGGGTGTGGAAATTGGGGAGCACGTTGATCCCTCCGAAGGCGAAGACGACGGTGTTCCAGCAAAGGATGAGCCCTTGAAAGTCTGTGAACATTGGCCAAGTATTTGTCGTCTGGCCATCCAAGCAACCAGCCAGCTTGGAGCTGTCCGTGGTGAAGGCTGACACCACGACTACCCCTGCGCAAATTGCCGAGCAAAGTGCACCAAGAGCCGTGAGCCAGAAAGTTTCCTTCACCGTGGCAACGACGAAACAGAAAACGAGCTCGATGGCTGCAGACACCAGGATGACACTTCGCTTTGACAGCCAGGAGACGCCGAAGATCTGCTGCAGCTGCCACGCATTGACACCGATGAGAACCAGGAAGATGGTGCAAACGCCGATCAACATTAGCCATTGCAAAGTCTGAGTGAGCAGGCGACCGAAGCCGCCGATGGCCTGGTAGCCAATGTCTTCATAACTTGGCGCTTTGCTGTGGCGAAAGAGTTCTTCCACTTGAAACATGATCCAGCCGAAGAGGTAGGAGGTGTATGCCGCGCAGCAGGCGCAAAGCACGATGACAGGGATGCCCACCCAGCCGGCATGGCCCACCGCAGGTCCCAGGGCGAGAAGGCCGGCACCAACCTGCGTGCAAACGTACCTTGGCTCTTGAAAACATCTTAACCCGATAAACAAACCCTTGGGTCTTTGTTTGGGTTCTTTATATGGATCCTAATATTTTGGGGACATAGGGCCCGGGTTTCTCAATCAGGTTCCCACATTAAAGAACTTGACTTCTAGTTCCAAAGATGGGTATACATAGTAAGTTCCTTGCTATGCAGACTCGACCTAAGATTTGCTGTAGACCACATCCATTCCTTTCCTCTTTTTGGCAACAGGCCTCTCTAAACTCTTCTTATGGCATCGCGTATTTAACCCTTGCAACAAGCCGTACAGCTTCAGCCTAAAAGCTAGGCCGTTTAAGAGGATCTTTTTTACCAGCCCTGATGGAAACCCTCATACAACCCCTGCAACAACCCGTATGGCATGAACCGGAAAAGCAACTTCGCAAAGGCTCGGTCCGTCCATTAAGTGCAAGGAGCCTGTACACGCCAGCTAGGAAAACCGCATCCCTCTAAGGCGCGTGGACTAAAAGCTCATGGTGCAGGACTTGCCCTGCCCTGCCCTTGCTCTTGCCCTTGTTGGCCTGCCCGTCTGCCTTCCTTGCGCTCTTCTGCGCTGCCCTGGCGCTGCCTTCCTGCCCCATGCCCTCTGCCCTCTGCCCTGCCCTCTCTGTCCTCTGCAAAACCCACCACCCAACCCCGCCCCAGTTCCGCGAAGAGGCGCTGCCCTGCCCATGCCCTGCCGCCCTGCCCTGCGCCCTGCCTGTTGTCTGGAAGGAAGAACTGGCAGTTTCGGCCTGAAGCCTAAGAGCGGAAGGTTGGTTGGTTTGGCCGCCTTCGACGGCGAGGGGTGGGAGAGAAAGAAGGAAAAGCCTCCTATAGACAGGCTCTGACAGCTCATCGCCACGGCACGATGCACTCGACACGAGACTGTTGTAAGATACAACCGCCTTCGCGCTATTCTGCGGCAAACCCTAAACTTGCCCTAAACTCTACACCCCAAAACCTATTGTGCGAGTGTGCGAGGCGAAACTTAAACCCTTTTTGCAGCGGGCTCGCCTCGAAACCTAAACCCTAAACTCCTAAGCCCAAAACCCTGGCTCAAGAGCCCGGATGCGCGAAGGCAGCCCTGTGGACGTGGGAAGGTCGGACTTCCCGGGAGATGAATTGCTCCAGGGGGCCTGGAAAGGCTCCCTTTTGAGGGCTACTTTTAGGGTTTAGGGCTTGAGGGTTACCTTTCAGGGTTTAGGTTTTAGGGGCTAATTACTTTTTCCCTCCTACATAGCAAGGACGAGCCCGCATTGCAGGGTTAGTTCAGCACAGCTGTATCTGCACACAGTAGTAGAGAGCAAAGCATGTCGTATTGACAAGTACTCTGCACCACCCACTAACTCGCAGGTTCCATTCAGGACCTGCAGCACCAGCATCGACTCTACTTCTATAGCGAAGCATCAAGGGGCTACATTTAGGGTTTAGGGTTGAGGGGTTGTTTTTAGGGATACGACTCGCACACTCGCACGAAGCAAGCACGGATTTCATGTCATGTCGGACGAGTTTAGGGTGTGGGGTGTAGGGCTCCTTTAAAGAGTTACTAAAGCAAGGTTACGACAACATAAAGAGTTCGGTAAGCGCTACTGTAAAACAGGGGTATATGATAGGGGTGCTAACTTAGTACTGGTACTAGGTCAACATTAAGGGCTCTTTATGCTCCATTCTAGAAAAAAGGTGCTATAAGGGCTGCTACTATAAGGGTTGAGGGTCCTGCAGGGGCAAGTGCAGTGTCCTCAACCACTGTCATGGCAGCCCGAGCACGTGATTCCTAATCGCGCGAGGTTGGGTCCTGTATAACTGCCAGAGACAGGGCTTGAGCCGGAAACGAGATCTCTGTCACATTTCATTGCGTGCAGACTAGGCGTGTGGACCCATACAGAAACTTTCTGTGCATGTCATGAATGCCGCCAGTCCAATGGCCTTTTCGTGCTCGTGGAGGTTTGGTGCCAATGTTTCCATTCTCGCCACACGCGCAGCGAACTCCAGAACATCCTGAGAAAAGTCACCAGCTAGGCCGGGCACATGCTTGTAGAGACAGGCATCGCGAGGCAGGAAATCGCAGATCTTCAGCAGCCTCAGACTATCCGTGCCTGAGCAGACCTAGCATCACGACCTATCCATGCTCTCAATTCGGCTCGATTCCGAAGCCCCAAACCCTAGACCCTTTGTCAAGGTCATCAACGTCAAGGAAATTACGCAAGAGCGTCCTGCCCCACGAGGCGCATGCCGAGCTTGCCCTCCTTTCGATGAGACAGCCATTCTGGATCTCTAAGAAACTCCAAACGTCCGTAGTATCATAAAGGATAAATATAAATATATATATATATAGATATATATATATATAGATATAGATATAGATATAGATATTAGATATTGATATTGATATAGATATAGATATAGATATAAATACAAAATAAACAAATAAGTAAATAACTCTCTCTATATATATATTATACACGTACGGACATACATACATACATACATACATACATACATACATACATACCTACATCGTAAGGATCCCTCTAGGTATGTTCCTCAACTACCGGGTTTTAGTCTCTGAGCCCTTCAGTGTCAAGGTGAAGGTGTCGGCGCTCACACTCGGACAAGCCAGGCGAGGTTTTTGGTACGCAGTCGGATGATGTGAAACACGGCTTAGGGTTCAGGGTGTTGCTGGGTCTTGCCTTCTGGCGATGGAAAAGCTTGGTGTAGAGCTGGTCCAAGGTACGGCTGCCTGACTGGCCACAGACGAGGCGGCATGCGGACCCGAGCAACACCCTTTACTTCCAGAATAGATCTTGAACGATAGAGGGGTTCATACTATGCCTATTCTGGCACTGAGCATTCTCCCGTTTGCTTTTGCAGCTGAGAGGCTGTGCGGTGGGCGGAGTGGCAGCACGATGCTTTCTGGATTCCCTGGCTCCTCGTCTCATGCAGTACTGACCATGGTGCTGCCGCTCCCCTGTTTTCACAGTGGCTTTCGTCGGAGCAGAAACATCCGTCGACCCTGTGCTCGGTTTGGTTTCCACTGTTGGCGTATTTAAACATGCATAGTTGCATGGGGTCCTCGTTGTCTTCGGCAGCATAGGTTGCCCATGGCTGCCACCCAACCTGCGCCATCTTCTGCACCTCCTGTCGGGCGATGAGTCTAGCCTCCCAAAAGCTATCCTCACACGGGACACCGCCAAAGCCTGGTCAATTTTGCCATCCTTGCGCGATGCCGTTGACCTGAGGTTCCGAACATTCTGAAACTGCAAGCATTGATAGCTAGCTGAGTTCCTCACGCTGCGCTGAAGGTATGTACATACTCTCATAAAGGCTAGACTTGCCGATTCTTGCCGAGACCTCAGGTACACTTCGGATCGATGTTCGCCTATGGCCATCACCTTCATTATCATGTTACACAAACTTCCCAAGCTGTAAGAAACCCGTTCTCATAAATATTATAACTTGCCGTTATGTTCTTAATGTCATTGCTTGGAGAGCTTGCCTGGACCTCGAGCTTGAGCTCTGCCGGGCCGTCCCGGACCACAGATGGGTCCTAGAACTCCAGAAGACCCAGGTCGGGAAGCAATAATCTTTCACAAACCCTAAACCCCAAATCATCCCAAAGCTTAAATCCTCAACCCTGTTCGGGGCCCCAGGCTTGGGCTTCGCAGGCTTCGGCGGCTTCGCCACAGGCGACTTCGGCGCTGGTGGCTTGGGCTTCGGCGGTGCCTTTGCTTTCGGCGTCGAAGCGGCAGCTTCATCACCTTACAGTTTTAGGGGAAATGTGCTGAAGGATGTGCCACTCACAGCTCAGCAGGGCCTGGCAAGGAGTTGAGCACGCTCTGTTTGGGTTCTGTGTTCGTCGTCGGGCCTGAGAAACTACTCTGTCATTTCTCGGAAAGAGATCTGATGCACTGCCGCAAATTCCTGGTCCAGATCCTAGGGGAAGGAAGTACAGGTTCATCTTTGGGATTAGATTGCGATTCTAAGGCACCAAAAAGGCAGAGCGTACCTACTCTACTGCGAAGAACCCCTCTAAGCCCTTAAAGAAGCCTTTCTCATACCACAAAACGGCAAACCAAAGGCTACCGACACTGCCACTAACCCTAAAACCTTTTGTTGAACCCAGACTCTGCCAATCAGCTGGGAAGCAGCATTTCAAGACAGCCTTAAACCCTGTTTGCAACTGGCTTGCAACATCACGCCAGGACAGCTGACTGGTTCCAGGCTACACTCCTGAAGCCCTAAACCCTATAGGCCCTAGCTTCGCTCCAGGAAAGGCACCATAACCGGCGAAGGCGGCGAAGGGCAGGCTGAAGCTGGCGAAGCTGAGGCTCAGGCCTTCCTGCAGAGTAAGGGCTTAGGATGGCTTGGGTCTCAGGGCTTTGGGTTCAAGTAGAGATCCCCTCACTTTGGGGGGGGGGGGGGGGGGNNNNGGGTTTAGGACTTCGGGTTTTGGGTTTTGGTGCTTTACCCCACCGCCCACCTGACCAAGTGGCATCGCAGGGACATTCGTCGGATTTGACTGGCCCGAACACCCGCGGCACAATCCCGGCAACCCTCCAGCTCTGAAATACTGAAATTCACGAGACTGCAGGCTGCAGGCCCTTGGTTTCTATACCATAAGCGATAACGACGGTTTAGGGTTTTGGGTCTTGGCTTTCATTTCCTGCAAGGAGAGTAAGGGTGGCGAATACTGATCGAAATCGATTGACACAGAATTGCCGCCCTGCTCTGATCTACGATCCGGCCACATGACGGAAAAAAAAACATACGCATGTAGCATGTATGTATGCATATCGCTTTCTCTCTCCGTCTCTCTCTCTCTCTCTATATATATACACAAACGAACACATACGCTTTGTTGTAAGCATGCATACACACACTCATGTAAAAACAAATACGTGCATGCATACATACGTACATACATGTGTATTACTACTATTGCTATTATTCTTCTATTTACTTCAACACACATACATGTACATATACATGTACATATTCATATGCAT